TGTCCCTGTTATAAAATATCCATGTTCTTTTTTTTTTTTCCTTACCTTGCCCTACTTTTTTAACCCTAGGGAGGATTTTAAGAAGTTTTTAAAGCTAAGCATTCCCAATTGCTTGAGGCTGTCTTTGGAAGTTAGAATATGAAGCGATTACCCGCAGGGCAGGGTGTTTTTATGCCAATGTGAAAACACTTAATATATCAGCAGGTAACTGAACATATTCTCTGCTGTGGAAACATCTGCCTCTGATGATTAAACCATTTCTAGGGAGGTTTTATGGATCATTCACCCTCACTTTTTCCTTCCCAGAAACACGTGAGTGAATACTCAAACAGCAATAGATCAGGCCTTAACTCTGTCTGGGGGGATAGGTATTTTAAGTGTCCCAACTATCAAGATTAAAACTGTCAGTTACAAATGCTGACTACTAAAGTTGCTTTTGTATTAGATCTTTAGGATCCCAACAAAGGAGAGAAAAATGCAATCTAGTCTTTCCTATTTCATTTTTAATTTTTGGATCCTTGAGAGACAGTCCCACCTCCTGTGGGATATTAAAACTAGATGTCACCAGGATTTTGGATGTTGCCTCTTATTCTGTAGTTTCCATCCAGAGCAAGGAGAGAAACCTCTTTCTGCACAGTCTTCCACAGGAGTACTTATCCGAAGGTAAAATTCGGCATCCAGTATCACGTCCAAATGCATCTCCATTCTGTAGCAGTACATTAACCCACAACAAGAAGAATGTGATAGTGTTGCCGCATGGTGATCAAACCTTTTACCACATGGTGCAATCACCAGTGCGTGGGCTTCAGAGTCAGAGCAACCTGGAATAAAATATCAGTGCTGCCTGATTATGGTCAGGATCAGAGGGGCTCATATGTTCTAGTGCTTTTTGCCCGCCTACACTATTTAAGAAAATTGTGAAAGAAACACGTGGGAATCATACCCAAGTAAATAAGTGTCAACTGCATTGCTGAGAGAGCTGACTGGAAGGCGTGGCTCTAGACTGGCAGCCAAGTGAGGTCAGTTCTTTGTCACTCTGTAAGGAAGCTCCCCATAGACACCTGGAACACAGGCCCTACTCTGAAGAGGCCTGCTCATGTTAAAATTGCTATATCCGTGGGCAGAGAGTATGGGAACTTGCTGGGGACAATGTGGATTTAAAAAAAAAAAAGCAGAGAGAAAGGTCAAGGGAAAGTCTTGTGTTTTCTCATATCAAATTCATCAGGGAAGAGAGTAAGTGAAACTTGAAAGGCCAGGAATACTGTAGAAGAAAACTTGAGCTAGAGGAGCATGTACTATGCCTTAGTATCATCCCATCACTGTGTCTTTGAGCAAGTTACTTACATTTATGAGCCTCATAATGCCTTGTCTATAAAATGGGAATAATACTGACTGAACAGAGTATCCGTATGTTAACTTCCACTGAAAGGCCTGCCACTAAATGACTCTGACTAGGTTCATCAGCTGCCTCTTACTCTGATAAAATTATTAGGAAATTTAAAAGGAGGAAACATTTATTATGGCTCATGATTTGTGAGGTTTAAGTCCATGGTCACTTGGTGGTGTTGCTTTGGGCCTGCAGCTGTACAATGTGGCATAGTAAGAGTGTGTGGCAGAGGAAATCTGTTCATCTGACAGTGGCTAAGAAATAAAGAGGTGGAAGGGGAGGGGTTGGGGTTCCAATATCCTTTTCAAGAGAAGCCCTCAATAATCTAACTTCCTCCCACTAGGTCCCACCTCTTAGAGGTTCCACCATCTCCTAGGAGTACTACAGGCTGATAACCAAGCTGAGGACTTCAACACATGAGCCTTTGGTGGACATTTAGAATACATAATATAGCACTGGCATATTTTCTAGTCTATTCCTTACTTGCTTTTCCTGCTAAACTCTAGGTCAATGTCAATCAAAGATGTCACTAGACAGAAGACGATTTTCATCTCTGTCCTTCCTAACATTAGGGATGGTTAAAAAACAATAATAATTAGTTTTTAAAACATATGTACTGCACAGTTGGGTACCCAGATTTTCAAGGTCACTTGCTTTTTGCAAGGATCGGCTTTCGAAGCCAAAGTTATCCCTTTGCAGACGAATGTGCACACCTTTATATTCCTTTGCACATGCACATGCTACCTAAGGGAGAAACACTGCTTTGTTTTATATTGCATTTCCAAAATGGAGAGGTTCCCAGTTCCAAGGTCTGGAAGAGCTGCCCCTGATTACTGTCTCATCAGTATTTTGTGGGTGGTTCCCAAGAATATAGAATGCTTGCTCCCATCACATTCCTTCTATTTTGCCTGACTGGAAGTTAAAACTTTTGATCTAGAGGCCTAGAAACATTGAGAAATGCTCTGACCTTGATGGAGAGAAAAAGCCATGCAAAACCTGGCCTGGTGCTATGTCCCCAGGGTGGGGGCTGGGCAGACTCCGCGTTGATGTGGCCTCCAAGCCCAGACTCCTTAAGGGCCCTGATTTAACCCAGAAAGGGATATTGGAGCCTAATGTTCTCATCTGGCTATCATGCATATTCAGAATCCATTGGATATTATGATAGTTTTGAGATAGTTTAATGAATTTTCCTTTGTTCGTGTCTAATGCTGAACTGATTATGGTCTTCTCCATTCCTGCCATATCTGCTTTCTATAGCCCATTTCAATGGCATCACTGGCCACGGTGTCTCATTTCCGTTGGCATCTCTGAGGGATCTCTTCCTCTCACACCTTATGTCTAACTAGAAACTCCACTCTGCTGACTTGACCTCAAAAACGGAAACTATGGACTTGGCCTCCAATCTGATTGTCACTGTAAAACCCACTTTTGCTGAGACAGTCTCCAATCTCTCTTCTTTCTGGTCTACCCTGCATCCTATTTTCAGCTCCACAGCTCACGTAAGTCAGATCAAACCTCACTGCTGGTCCAGAGCTTCTAGCAGCTTACGCTGTTCACCCATGACATGTAGAATGTCTGAGCCCAGCATCCAAGCATTCACAACACCAAATAACCTTCTCCTTCACATCCTCTTGCGTAAATCCCAGACACTGGGCCTGCATTGGCCTTTGACCCACCATGCACTTTGTATCTGAGTATCTTTACCAGAATGGCTCCAGAAGCATCCATGGCACTTTTCATCAAAATCCCAATATGGATATGTTGCTGTTTTGACATGGAATAACTGTACATGTGTGGAGGGTACAGTGCTTTTTTGATGGTTGTATATATTCTGTAATAATCAAATCAGAGTACCTGGCATTTCTGTTGCTTCATACACTTATCATTCCTTTGTGGTGAGAACATTCAAAATGTTCTTTGAGCCATTTTGAGACATTTGATTTAATATTACAAACCATAATTTCTCTGCTGTGCAGTTAAACACCAGAATGTGTTACCCTCATCAGACTGTAACGTTGTACCCTTTTCACATTCTCTGCCTCATCCTCTCCCCAGCCTGTAGTAACCACTGTTCTACTCTACTTCTGCAGGCCCAGCTTCCTTAGATTCCCATATGAGAGTGACCATTGAGCAGTTGTCCTTCGGTGCCTCACTTATTTCACAAACAAAGTCCTTCAGGTCCGTCCATCTTATTGTCATTGACAGGATCTTATCTTTTCAATGACTGAATGGTACTTTATTTTATATCTCCATGATAGGCTTTCTTCTGCACACTTGCCATAGCCATACTTATTTTAAGTTAAATGTAGGCCAGTATCTTACTGTGGCTTCCTGACAGACTATTAGTTTCTGAAGCATGTTTATATTGTTTGAAAAATCCTTACTTTTGAAGGGATCCTCAGTAAACCCCTGTTTTTAATCACATTAGACTTCTGTCTTTTCTGTCTTTCAAATACTTTCAAGACACAGTTTCTTTCCTTGTCTGTATAAACCTTAATTATGCCTATTTTCAAAGAAAAAAAAATCTCTAGACCCTTTGGAGTTTATTGTCAATTACAAACTCGATTTAAACAGTAATTAGCTAGAATTTTCTTCTGTATTATTAAATCTTTCCATATTTTTGATGATTTAAAGGATTTGTAGATTGTATTAAAAGGGGTTAAACTTAGGAATATATGTTCTGAATGCATTTGCTGGAATAATAGATAAATATTTTCTGCTGCTGAGAGCCAGGGAGGAAAGAAATTCATTGAAAATCTTCCTTTATTTTTAACATTATGAACATCTGTGAATATGGAAATTGGAAATTTTAGAATGCGTCTGTATGTCTCAGCAATTGTAGGAAAGACAACAAAGGTATCTGGAGACCAGATACCTTTATAAGCCATGAATATATTTGAAAATAGTAGTCTAGAGTCTAATCCTCATCACCAGTATTTTAAATGAGCAATAGAACTGTGTGTTTTCAATGCATTCATAACTCGATTAATATTAATGAAGGCCCCACAGAGTGCACTGTACTGAAATAATTACTGGAGAACCTCTACCAGAAAATGAAGTGCAACAGGTACAAAAGTCAGGATTGCCATGAAGAAAAACAGTTGGTAAAGGTGTACAGTAGGCAAAACCTTGCCTCGTGCACCTCAGGTAAATGAACCTTTAATGTATTTGTCCACTGTTGTAGCAATGACAGAATCTCAAAATTATACTAGTATAGTGCAAGGAAGTAAAAAAAGGAACCAAATATTCTTGGGAGGAGAAAGCACAAATATCCATTCATAAAGCCATTGATAAGCATTTTTTTTTTTATCAACACTGTCATTGTCACAGCCTGCTTGATCTTCCTACTTTGGGTTAATATGCGAGCCAATTACAGCTTCATCTGTGTAGAATTAACTTTATGGAGCACACACTGGGGATTTGTCTATCTTCACTATTTAGATATATGCCATAAAAATATGCATGGAATGGAGTACAAGTACTGCAGATGGCAGAGACTTTCAGATTTATTGTAAAATCATTTAAAATCCGTTATGCTCTTGCCAGAAGTTAATTAATTTTTTTTTTCTGTTTTTTTCCGGGGCTGGGGGGTTGGGGGTGTGGTTCTCACTAGGTGGCAGTGTATGATTACATCAGGAAAAGCCACGGTATCGAGTCCAGTGTCTCCAGCTGTGACCTCCCACATCATAATGAAATCTCTGGGTCTGCATTTGGTCCAGGAGATATTACTTCTCACGTGTCTGTGTACACTGTTTATCCCAGTGGGTTCCAAGAGCTCTACCGCCATTTTCTCAGACTCCCTGGTGGCGCCATTATTGAGGTATGTACATAAGAAAATATTTTGATGCAAATGTTGTATGTGTGATTGTGCATGGATGTTCATACTTATAGATACATATATGCATGTGTGTGTTTATACATGATCTCAAAGGCTTCAGTGTCACTTTGTAAACATATTAGAACTAATGTTTTTAATACCATAATGGCTTGAAGATGTGTTTTAGTTTTTTTCCTAAACAGACAAAAATACATAAGGAGCAAAGTTTGTGTTCATAACTATGTTGGATACAGGCAAGAAACCAAATGAAATAATCCAGGCTTCTGCCTTCAGTAACTTTTCCACAGGTAACATCTGTAAATACCAGCAGTTTGATGATGGCTCTGTGGACACTTCCACACCTCAGGAAGTGCCCAGTCTTTTGTTTACTGAGCTCACACAAAGTGAATGAGGTGGTGGCATTTCATTTTCCCCATGAGGGAAATCTTTAAAAATATAGAAAAGTATACAATCATCTCTAAGTCTTTCAAAAAATAGTTTTAGTTTAGCATTTGGCCAAGATCTTCCAGTCTGGTTTCTTCCTAAAAACATCAATCTTTAGGTTTGCTGATTTAAGCTTTAAAAAGTCATGTTCCCTCATGTTGCTAGATTCCAAGTTCACAGCATATTGAGATCTGAGGCTCTACTGCATTAGGAGAGGTGGTGAATTGTGAAATCTGAAGAAGTGTGATCATTTGGTGGGTATGAAAGGTACAGGAGGGGAAACTGTAGATATATAACATGTAAATTTAACAGTGGGATGCACAGTACTAGTTGATTAGAATTTGGAGACTATGTCTGCTCCTACCACTTTCCCTGGGAACTTTAACCACTACTGTTTTTATTGTGAAGTTGATGAAAACCCTTTTCTTGCAATAATCCTTTTCAATATAATCTTAAAGAAATGTCAAATTGTTTAAAGCCTTGTTGTGTAGACAGGACACTTCTCCTTTCTACTATACCAGCCCACAAAATTATCTTGAGAAGTCACATAGGCATTTATAAGAGAGGTGCAGATGGGTCAGAGAAGATTCCATATCAGCTTGCCCTCCTGTCTCCCTTACCAGGGTGTTCTACAAGAGGGAACTGCATATATTACAGCAAAGCAGCAGATATAACAAGATAATGCTTGCATCTAATGACATTCTTTAGGAGTTTGGGTAACACGCACTTTTCTGCCTACAACCCCTTTGAGACATCTGAAATATTTTTTTTTAGCATCCTTTTTGTAGAACAAACTGCTGGGATTTAATGCTTTTTTTTACATTAAGATAAGCATGTGTTTAAATATGTGCACACATGGGGCACTAAAATAGCAAGAAAAGTGCAGATGTCAGGAGCCTCTTCCTGCTGCGAAATTTTGTGTAGCTCTTAGATCCCTGGAGCCTCAGCAGAAATCCCAGGTAGAATGGAGCATGGCCTCATGAGCCCAACAACAATCACAGTCCATCAGCTCACTCATTCTTCATTCACTCTATAACCTTGGCTTAGTCATTTCTCAAAATCCTGCCTATTTCCTTATGTGAAACTGGGTTATGAATACTTATACTACCTGGCTCCTAGGGATTTGGGGCAGATTAATGAGATAACATCTCCAAAGTACTTTTAGCTCTCCTTTAAAAAAATGTACAGTAAAGATAGCAAATATTATAGATCATGCACAATTAAATTCATTCAGCTTGCAGACATTTCATCAAGTACCAATAATAGCATTGTGCTAAACATACAAAACAAAACAAAACAACTTCTGGAAGACCCAAGTGGTGAGGAAATACGTACCATTGACCACCTCACTCTTTTATTGCCGCCATTTTCAATATGATCACCTATTTTGATGGTAAAAGGTGGCCATGCTCCTGGGCACTGGGAAGACTTTTCCCAAAGAACATTCCAGCAAACAGTAAACCAGCTTTTCTTTTGTTTCAAGTTTCAACAAATGCACAGGTCTTGCCCACTCTTGGGTCTACAGTTCAAATCTATTCATTTATTTTTTCCTGCTTTACTTTATCTGCTTCCTTTTCTATGAAATATTCAAAATCCATTTTAAACTGAACTATCCCCTGTAACTTTCTCTAACTCTTATCAGGAGTCCTAGTTTTTGTCATTTTAGTCTTTCTAAATTTATGTCTGGTATTACCTCATGACTCCTAGAGGACAGGAGGAACCATAAAGCAATACCAGTCCCTGAGCAAATTAAGGACCAGGCAGACCGACTTCAGGCGCTCAGCAGAGCTCCCTCTTCCCTGACCCCTAGTAGGTGCTGCCAGGTCAATCATTGTCCTCATAAGCGCCAGAATCTGAAAATGAGAGACTGGGGTCCGTGCTGTGGAACCTCAATAAGAAACAAAATCCATATATTATCTTTCCCAAGATCTATGTGTTGTGAGTACATTTCAAGTATCCCTTAAGTTTTAAAATAATGGCTTATACACAGTCCCTTACTTGCTTACGTTTAAGTTCAACCCTTGAATTTCCTTTGTATTAAGTACACAGCCGATGGTAAATTTATCAAATCAAAATGAAATTTTGGGTTCCAAAATATGCTACTTGATTAGTCGTTTGGCACATTGAGATTCTTACCATCTATGCCCACTTTGTTCTACTTATGGGAACTAGAATTTAGGACATGATTTAAACCATGATGCTAGTGAGCTCTAAACCACATTCTGGTCAGATATTCTGATATTGGAATAAATAGGCAGCACAGTCTAGGCCTAATTTATTTACAAATTCTATCTGGGGATGAAAAGGAAGCATGAATGTAATTTTGCTTCACTTCTGTAACCGGAACTCTGTTCTCTAAGGTTTTATGGTGTTTTTAAAAACAGGTTATCTACTTATCTGAAGTTCTTTTGCATTTAACACATCTTTACTTGTCACTAATGATTTCGAACCCTCTCCTAATTCAGGTATGAAATATAGGTCAGGCATTCACCTCTTGCCTTTTTATTCTCAATAAAGCCTTAGCCTTTTGAGATAGAAACAAATTATCTTCAAATTTTTGTGTGGGAAGCTACACTTTTGACACAGTGTGATTTCTGCATGAAAGAGGTCAGATTCCAGGCATCTGAAATAGAAGTTATATTGCAAACATTATGTTCCAGAGATGTGTTTTGTATCCAGGCTTGTGGGCTAAGATGACACAGCTCTTACGGTGTTAGGCTGTACATATTTTGCTTTTTAAAAAATCTCTCTTGTCCACTTCTTATAGAGGGTCCTGAGCCCACGGTGCCTCGAGAGTCTCTCCTTCATTCTGCTTTTTGCTGCCTCTCTGAGCTCGGCAGATTCTGAATCTTCACAGAGCAGCGCTTTGTCTCTTTGTTGGATGGGTAGGGTTACCTTGAGGTGTTCTATAAGGACAAAGTTATTGTAAAGTTTTTAGTGCTACAAAACCTAGAAACCCAGGCAAGACTGGTGCAGATTCATCAAGTTACAAATAAGCTTCCGGATCCCAGGGTAGCAGCCGCAATTAAGAAAGTCCTTGGAGCATTCGTTGGGCGGAATGGGAAAACGGTTTTTTGTCATTAGAGGCAGTGTCGCCTGGTGGTCTGAGCGCAGAACTGGGAGCCGGGAACTCGCGATCTAAGGAGGCTCAGCGAAGCCCTCCTGCGCTGCGCGGCTTTAGGCGAGCAACTCGGTCTCCGGAGGCCAACCTCACCTACTTTGAATCTCCCATCTGAAGAGCTCCTTACCACAGGGCCAGGGGATGCACAGCAGGAAGCCTGATTCCTTGTCTGCAAAATTAGAATATTAATACTTGCCTAAATAACAGATTAACCAATTAGTGATTAAGCGTTCTGCTGATGGAAAGCAGCAGGAGAAGAAAGGAGAAAACGAAAACCCCAAACACAATTTTATTCTTGGTGGGTTTTACTCAGCTCTGGAGTTTACTGCTGAGAAGTGAATCCAGGCCCGTACAGGGCAAAGAACAGGTGTCGAGAAGCCGATTTTATTCCCCTCAGCGTGAAGGTAGCGCACGAAGCTCAGCATCCTCGGGTCTGCAGGAAGCTCTGAGGAAAAGAGGGGAGAGTATGCTTTGTCCTCGGATCAGTGAATTGCAGGACAAAATCTTATAGGAATAATTGGGAGTTTGCTGTTTATATATATATATATATATATATATATATATATAAGCCTACTTAGGATATTGGAAATTCTATCTACTTTTTACAAATAACCAGTTTGCTGTATGCGTGGGTAAGGGAGACAGCAATGTAGGATGGCTGGAAGAAGAAGCAACAGGAAGATACAAAAATGCAGGACCTATAGACAACGTTTATTCAATGGATGCAAATTGTTGATATCTTACATTTTGAGAGAGAAAATCACCCCATCTGTTCTTCTTTTGTTGAAAGCAGCTGCGCCTGGAAAAGGGCAGCGTCATCCTGTGTGCGTTCTCGTGGTGCATGGTTCCAGGCAGCTCCAACACAAAACCAATTCAATTACACAGAAATGGAAGAAAGTCACATTTTCATTGTGCACAGCTAGAATACTTGACATTTTGTGCACAATACCCGTGCAAGAGGATGCAGGGTGTCCTTTGAGAGTGCTTTGCTGTCATAAGTTCCAAAATATACATTGAAAGGACATAGTACTAGCGATGCTGATGATTTTGCATAAAACATTGCTAAACATGTCAATGTACACTACTATATTTTATTTCTGGCTTTGAAAGTTGATAGTCTCACTTCAAAATTTTCAGAAATGAGGTCCTGATTCTATTTTGCTTATTTTTTCACTAAGAATGATTGTCTGTTTTAACAAAACCTTAAAGAGTTACCACTGTGTTATATCTAAAACTTAGATCCTGTTAAAAGCAGCATTTTTTATAAATGAGTACAAAAGCAAAAATAGAGATCAATCATTAGACTAGTATCAGAATATAATGCTAATTATAAGACATCTTCCTGACATACTACAATGAAAAGTCTTAGGTAGACATTGTTCATTATTATATCTAATATAAGCTGTGTGGATTTAGTTTTCCTAACACAAAATTATTATTCCTGCATATGTGTCAAAATAGATTATATTATTTGTCCATAGTAATTAGGTCATAGTAACGTGAATAAAAATATAGTCTCTATGACTTGCTCTAAAATGCTCAGCTTTCCAAAAAAACTAAAGAAGAAGCTTCCTACTTCTGGCTTCATTTATCATTTTATAGCTAGTATTGGTAAACTGCAGAGGAAAATTAAGTTTTGTTTTTAAACATAGAGTACAATAAGTGTTAAATAATATAACAGATTTCAAGGTTTTCTGTAAAAAAAAATTTACTTTAAAAAACCTATTTGAATTATAAGGCAGAAATTATTACCTCTTACTGACTAAGTCAATTTTGCTATAGCTATGTGTGGTTCTCTTAGAGAATCATAAAGAATTGCTTTGCTTCCACTTATTGTATATTGAGATGTGATTGCTAAAATGGTTTTAAAGATTCTACAGGTCTTTCCTAAAATAACTAATATTGCAAACTTATAAAATCCTTTCTCTATGATTCATTTGTATTCATAGTTTGAGATAAGCAGTCATTAGCTATTCCCACTTTACATGGATTATACATTTTAATTTATGCATATAAAGTGCTCAGATACATTTATTTTGGAAATACTTTTATACCTAAAATAATTTGCAGAGTTTTAAATTTCCTTTGACTATTCAAATAATTAGAATGTATGAAAGCTAGGAAAGAATTATTCTATCATTGTATTATATCTACCACAAATGATAAATAAATGTATGATAAACTAGATAAGAAGATTTTTTTGGGTTCTAAGTCATAGCAAATATCTTAGGAGGTATACTAGGTGCAGAGAAACAGTTCAAAAATAAGTCTTGGAATATAAACTGAAATATATGGTTAAGTGAAATGTTTACTAAACATCATAGAGGTGAAAAATTAAATATTGCACAATAGGTACACAATGAATGTATTAACGTGAATAAAAATATAGTCTCTTAATTTTGTATCTTTTTCTCTCAAATTAGATTTTACAAAAGATATTTTAGAGACTTAAAAACAAAGAAAACTTTCAAGTTTCTTTTCATCTATTAATGTAAATATGCTACAATATTTGGAAATATTTTAGTTTTTGCATTATAAATAAATTTAAAATCTGTGCATTGAAAAGTCAGGGTTTGAGATGAGCATTTTCAGAAAAGGTGATTTTTGTCTTCATTTGCCTATGCTACATGATATTGGTTACTGAAAATATCAAAGATGATTCACTCATAGGGACTAAAAAGAAATTAAGACAAACAACCCTGAATTATGCATATCTTCTTATACTCATACTCAGAAATATTATGATAATAGTTTGGTGCCTTTTGCAGTTATGTCAATATTATATAAGAACTGTACAATTTTTTTTTACAAATATGTTAATTTCTTTTCTTTACTGTTAGTTTCTCCATTTTAGCTTATGGGACAAATTTTCCAGAATTATCTGAAACAATTATTTAATGATGAAATGAGAAACTCAAAATAGAAATAATTTTTAGAGCAAAATAAAAGATGGATGGGAGGAAACGAGAAGGTAGACATGGTGCAGCTGGAAAGTGGACCTGGGGATGGGAAGGCAGAGAAGAGAAGGGGATATGAAAATAATTATAGGGGTTGGGGATGTAGCTCAGTGGCAAAGTACCTGCCTGGCAAGCGCAAGGTCGTGAGTTCAGTTCCCAGTACAGGAGAAAAAAAAAAAAGAAAATAATTACAATACAATATGGGTATTACCAGCTCCCCAAGATGAAAATAACCATTATGTGTGACAAACACATACTAATAAAGAAAGGAAAAAAATCTACATTTGCTTAGCAGCGGTTAATTTTATATGTGTATCCTATGAATTATTTTTGATATCACATTTTTGAAACACTGATAAAAATCATACAAATTTACTTTATGTGCAAAATCACATAGAGTATGCTGAATGACACTTAAAGAGAGTGAAATAGTAACAGTAGCTTATTTCTGAAGCAATCTTGACACTAATGCTAAATTACAACTTGGGAGCATCTAGCATTTTTACCTTTCTGAGAAAAGCCTTTTTACATATTTAACATAATTCCAGGGAAAATAAACTGGAATTATGTATAAAGATATGTACACTGTAACCAAGGGGCATTTATATTCCCCTGTAGAATACTTACAATGATTTTATTGCCATTTTGTCTCATTTTCTAAAGGATATAAAATACAGCCAGTAAACAAACTAGACTTTAGATTTAAGGTGACAGCTGCTCCTTCAGAAGCAATATCCAGATATTTAATCTTAAGCACATTGAATATTTTACAACCACGAAAAGTGTACTTTTGCAAAAATGAAAGAACTGTATGCTTTGGCTTGTAATTTTTGCAGCTGTGATGATCGATACAGCCGCTACTACTTATACCCATCATCACTAACTCCTAGAGAATAAATCTGAATCCCAGCCCTTTGATCTTTAACTTCTTGAAAAAAAAATGAACATAAGTGTGCTACATCTTCCAAAAAGCAAACATTCTTTCTCTAAACTGTTGATTCAGCCTGTAACTTAGAGTGTCATATTATTTCTAATTCTAGTTTTGAAATCTATAGTTTAAAACTAATTTGAATAGACTCTTTACCCCCAGCTCAAACTGTTGTGCTTCAGGTGTAGCATCTGAATCCACGGAGAAGAACTTGAACTTTATTTTAGAACCATAATAGGTTTTATTAGAGGTCTCCAAGAATTGCTGTCTTGCTGCTGTGTGTGAATTAGTGCTACGAGTACATAAATCCTGGGCTAAGTGGGCAAATGAAATGAACATGTACTTCTGCAATGTATTTTCTATGTTATTCTTCCTTCTCTTCTTTTAATGGTCTTTCTATGAAGTTTTATCAATTTTATATTTTTGGCAGCTGGATATGATCCATTGCACTGGCTTGATTGTAAATAATCTCAATTTCATTTTTCCACTTAGAAATTTGAGGATATTTTTACTCTCATTAGCATGCTATTAGCTACTCTTTTCTATGGCCTGCTTTAACCCGAAGAGTTCTTAGAAATCAGAAGCTTCTTTATATCATCAAGTGCCAATTCTGCTTGAAGCACAAGACAGGAGCCACATGTACTGCAAGCTGGACAGCCACAGTGTCACTATCGAATACTAGCTTCACACAGCTGAAAGATCCTTGTCTATCTCTATAGAAGTCATTTTCTTGTAACATTGCCTGGCAATGACACAGTGGTATTGTGCTTGCATTTTATTTGTTCACAATCATAAACTCTAAAACCACAGTGCTAGAATCCTGAGTCAAATCACCAGTGGCTTTAGCCTCAGCCACACTAGTTTTCCTCCAAAAAATCTCATTCTGACAGTTTTTGCCCTTTTTTGTTTCTGTGACTCTTATGATGGGGGTAGAATGTATAGTTCTATAGTCTGTCAGATTCATTGGTGCCATATTATTTCTTAAAGGTAGATCCTAATGGTGGAATTACCAGTCAAAAACCATGAGACTCTAAAAGCATAGAGTTGTAATTCTGGCTTGCACCTTTAGATAGTCTGAGTAAGAAGACAGGGTGGGCATCTCAATAAAAGCCATTGTGCCTAGAATGCTTCCCAACAAATCTAGATTTTAAAAGATCATGTACAAAGGTATAGAAAGATTAGAATGCATAATAAATGTAAGAGATTAGAGGATGACAGAGAAGAAAGTGAAGACAAAGACCTACATTTCTGAGAAAATCTGGAAAAAAAAGACTCAACAGGACAAGAAAACTGTGGAGTCTGTGGATATTTATAGTCTCAGTACAATTTAGTTTTATATTCCAAACTCTAACCTGTTCTTCTTAATCGTGAATGATATTTGTTAGCCAAAATACATGGGAATCATCATAGCTATTATGATAGTATGGCTCAATTCACGATGCCAAAGGACATGATAAAATCTCTTCCCTTTTTACATTCTGCATTGGCTTCATTCTTGAAAATGTTTTCTTCATATGTTAGTACCATTCCAGACTTTCTTATTCCTGTTTCTCACTAAGTTGGAGAGAGATTTTTTTCCTAGTTTTCAATCAGTAGCTTTTTGTCCATTTGCCCATGCTAGACAGAGGCTTTGTGACTGGTTAGCTCTACAATTTTTGTGTTCATGAGGAGCTAGAGTAGTTCTAGAAAGAGAAAATAGGTTCTGTAACCAAAGAAGAGCTTATTCAAAAGGCAGATGTCCTCTTTGGTATTTAGAAAAGACATTCAGTTGGTGAAACTACATGGAGATGTGGTTCCCTGCCTTTCTCATCTGGATGGCTTTCAATTCAAGAGGTCATAAGTTCTGCGGGGAAAACAAGCCTTCTGCAGAATGCTTGGAAATGTTAGATACCTTCAAGATGTAGGAGAGACACATGAAGTCAGAGGAATTGGCGGTTATTACAAACAGTGTAGGAATAAACCCAAACTGTGTGTGACAAGGGGAACAGACTATTGGCATGACTGCAAGTTGTGCTCCAGGGTAAGTAGTCTTTTATATAAAGAAACTTCGCCTGGCACAATAAATTCTTACCCAAAGAAATGTGACACTGCATGTGTGCCCAAAGATTTGTTTTCCGTACACCCCATCAAACAGAAGTTACAAGAGGCACAAAAGAGAATTCCAGTTTTGTCTTTGCTTTTGACATTTTGGGTTTCAGTGGAATTAGAAAAATGTGCTTTTCAAATATATTTTAATTGCTTATTATGATCCTGTGTTCTGCACTACCAAATGTATACACACATTACTGCATTATTTAGTTGTTATAAAATTATTGTAAGAGTCATAAATGAGATGGAACTATAAAGCCTAAATAATACTCTTCTATGAAGCTGTAGAATTTGGATAATACTGTGTGACATTTGGTGGGGATTTTCAAAGTGGAAAAAAATAACAGCTTTTGGTCAGTCCACCCAGATATTTCTTTGAAACATGGTGAATTAGTAAGTGCTCATCTCGTCACTCCTTTCCAGGTGTTTGGTGATATCAGTGCCTTGCAGTTTGTTCCGAGTGAAGTGACAGCAGCTATTCAAGAGCGCATAAATGAAATGGACACTGTACTCAGAGACTCCCATGCTACAAACCCAAGAGACAGGAAAGGAATCCATTAAAGTAAAAAGGTGCTTTCTTCTGCTGGTAAGCATTCAATTCTTTTTCTTGTGTAGCTGGAAATTTTCCCATTTTTTTTTCCACTTAGAACAAATTTCAAGAAAAAATGAAAACCAACAGGGTCAGGTCCCTTAAATTGGTTTGCAGAGCATGTAGTTTGTATTCTAAGATGACAACATCCAAGACCAAGCCGGGTGCTATTAAGGTTTTTGCATTCACTTCAGCTCTTTCTAAAGGGTTCAAATTAACATTCCCTTCTTTGCAGTTTTTATATAACTACTTTTTTGTCTTTACACCCATACTTCTATTTGCTGAAAGTTTAGAATGAGATTGGTTACTACACATGGGATTGAAGAGTTGGTGGGTCATTAAAAATCTGGCATCATTAAGACTGTTTTGCCTTCATTATAGAAGAATAAATACAGTGGATATCCAGATGCAGAAATCTATGGTAAAAACATGTGATCACAATCAATGTTGGTGGTTCTGTGCTCACTTCGGCAGCATATATACTGAAATTAGTGGTTTCTCAGGCCCTGGTTTTTATCGTCATCTAACTTATGATATTAACAGTCTAACATGAGAAGTTCACATCACAGATTACATTTCATATTCCTTTTTCTGGAAGAAATTATCATATACACATACACTATACTTTTATCTAACCAACATATAGTAATATCTCTGTCAATAGATCCCAACTTTATAGAAACTAATAAACATTCTAAGCGTCCTTTTATAGTTTGGTGGGTTACCAAACTATACCTACCCACTTCAGGTGACTAGAATCTTCCTTCAGATACTTAACTGTCAGCATCACTGTCACTTTGACTTTTATAAATATTACTCCTTGCTCAGATCAAAGATATTTACCTCCACTTACCCATTGTGTATACTCATTACACATGTTTGTTTTTCCCATTAGAGCAGGAGTTACCTGCAGAAGACTCTTAAAGATGTGTCTGAATAAACAGAGAGTTGACTAGGACCAGGTACTACTCAGGCTCACTAAACACTTGCTGTTGAAAAGAGGAGCAGAGGAGGTGTAGGTGAGAGAGTGATACTGGGGCTGTTTTGTGCTGTCATTTAAGCATAAAGCCAAACAAAACTTAAAAAAAAGTGGGGCCATGTATATTAAAGCAAATCTTATGATAGACCTATATCAGCACAACGTATATTGAGAAGGGGTCAAATTATAGGTCTAAGAGGATTTCTGCATCTCAGCTGTATTTTACTTGATTGGTAAATCAAGTTGATAAACCAAGTTTACTTGAAAAAGTGCTGTGATTTTTACTGAGTTGTTATTAGCTTGACTTGATTGGTATAAATAGCTGCAGATTTGTAGACCTATCGCTTCTACTTTTATGTTCCTCACTAAAATTAAACTTCATAAGGGCACAAAACATTTTGTATTTGTCTATACTCCCTGCCCAATTCCTAATATACTATACTTTAAACTAGTAAGAATTACATCTCTGCTGCATGAAAGAATAAAGTAACAGAATAAACTGTCTAATTTCACTTGTTTATCCTGAATGAGCTATGTGACTGTGAGTTGACCGAACAAAAAAGAGACCAGAAATAAATTGAATTTTTTTTTTTTTTGCTTTTTCATATTTTTGTTTAGGAAATTGGTGTCCTCAATGGAAGGATGAGTATAACTAAGAAGAATCATATTTTCTGCTTTCTGAAGGGTGCTGAGAAACATATTCTGTCCCTTAATCAAAGATGTTTTCTAATATATTATTGAAAAGCATGAGTTTTTCAGTATTTTAAAACACATCTGCAGTGCAGTGGTTTTTTGTTACTGCTTTCACTTTATATTTGTTTTCCCTGTCACTGAAACTATCTTTTTGAATAATAAAGATTAACTAATAAGTTCAGAGTCTGAGTTTGTATCAGAGTTTTATTATGTATTTATGTAGGTGTGTGATGGGTACGCATTTGCTAACATGTTTTCAGGAGTTCTCCCCTCTTGTTGAAAAGAACCTTTCTGATGTTCCTGGACCCACTGCTATAACCCAGTCCTACACTGCAGTAAGATTTTTGGTACATCTGAAGTAAACTTACTCCAGCATTGCAGTAAGATTTTTGGTACATTTGCATTAGCATTGAAAAAAATCTATTTGATTTTTAAAATTTTATTTTAAAGAGAAAAAAAATTTCAAAACAAAATAATAGGAGAATAACAGTGGCAAGTACACTGTGTATTGTTCTCTTCAAAGTAGCTATTCAAAGTAGAAGACATGGGCATGAAAAATTGTCCAAATAGTAGTAGCACAAACCCTTTTCTCCAATGAACTAAGAGAAATTAGTATTATAACTATCTTAACTATCATATATATTTTTCCCTTTCCCTTCCTTCGTTTCTCCTTTCCCCTATTCCAGTTTCTCTTTCCTTTTTGCATATGTCTGTGTAGTTTTTTGTAGAAAAAATATCTATTCATTTTTTTCAGACATATTTTATGAGAAATGCTAATTTTTAAAATTTATACTACTAGGTTCTTTTTGTTCATTAAAAAGGAAGTTGTGTCTGTTTATTTGTTTTTTCCCCTCTTCTTTACAAGAGAGTCTTTTTTTTTTTTTGTCTGTGAGTTATACTCTGAGTAGCATTGTGGCCATTCTTTTCAGCTCATGGAACACAGTATATTAACTCTTGTTATTCTCTGTTTTCTTATGAAATTTTTGTTTTATTTTTTCATAGAAGTAAAAGGAGTGCTTTTTTATTTTCTTTATTAACACCCACTTGTATTACCTTAAAAATTTTTTAAAGAAAATAGAAAAAGAAAAGTCTTTATTCTTATAACCAATCCCTCTCACTTTTCTGGAGCTCTTTATGAATTGTGAAGAATAATTCCATGGACAGAAAGATGAGAGCAGTCTTTCTAAGCAGATGTTCAGCAAAGGCACATTCTAACGTGACAGGCACCAGTGTAAAATCCTCTGAGGGAGCAGTGTGCGTACTTATACATGGAGAAAAGTACTATTTTTCAAATTCAAGCAAACTTTCAGAGGACTATGTATCTGTGAATGTGATCACCAGGTTGTTTTTTCGGTCTGTTGAGGATAGTTCACAATGCTAATAATTATTTTTCAGGAATCTGTTAGTAACGCAATTCCTATGAATTCATGCACATATTTTCAGAGGTTCCCTGAGTAACTTCATCTCTAGTGTGTAGTTGGTTACTAACTGATGTGTCATGCATGTTGATATTTTTTCATAGAAAGATAATACACAATGTGAAATATGATAATAATTGAAAGTGTAAATAAAAAATCATTTTAATAGCTCCATTTTTGCTACTACCTACTGTGTCCTTATTGTAGATTATTCATTTGGACTTCAGTTCTATTAAGGAATAAAAATATAGATAATAAGGAGTTAAAATTTAAATGCTTGCTATAAATTTCAGAGTGAAATCTATTAAATGTCCCTTGCATTAACTTCAGTGACAATAGACAGATTATGCACAGTGTCAGTTAAGCAAGGGATAAAAAATGAGTGATTTTCTTCCTTCAGTTAAATATGGTGCTAAGTGGTATGCACTAGCATTAAAAGTAAATTACTTATCACTTCAATAATCACAGCGTGAGTGCATTCTATTGGAAGCTGTATTCCAGTCTTCCTTGGTTCTCAGTTTTATTAAATGAATCAACTGAAAATGCCTGGGTAAGCAGAAGACAAAGCCTTGATGGTGCTATGGCATTTCTATTTTATAAGTGCTTATTCAAAATGTCTTCAAAATGGTACTTTCTATGTATGTTAGTTACTAAGAATTCACACGCTGAGAATTATACATACGGCAGACAGGTTCATCTGCTCCAGCCACCTATGTGAAACACATATCCTTTCTACTGTACCACTCCGGTGGGCCTTCTAGCTTAATTTCAAACACTGTAAGAGGTGGGAAAAATAATTATTTCAAAGGAAAAATCTACCCTGGGAAAATCCTGCCCATAGTCAGAAATAACTTGCTACTGTGTTTCAGTAGCCTGCTTAATATGGCAATGAAGAGACTTGGAAAGGGTAGATCTTAACTAGATAGCTGCTGAGTAAAATAAAGCAAACCCAGCTTTTTATTTTTAAATCCACATTCCTTATTTTCATTTCAGTGCATTTTACACATTTTCCTTTTTGTGGATGCTGAGGAACAGGGGTGCAGGCAAAGTAGATGCATACGGGGGTGAAGAAGAGACCCTGCTTATGACCTCTAGGGACCCAGGAAAGTTTCCATGGCCTTTCAACACACACAATAACTTTTTATGTATTCTGCCAATACTTGAACTGTTTTAGACAGGATCGAATATATAATTATATATATATATATATATATTATCTTCATGTATAATAAAGATTATGCAGTGAGTCAGTGGTTTATAGCATGAACGCCCGGTTCTATTGGATGGAGGATCTGCTTGATCCCACACATGTGCGGCTATCAGGTTAAATTTGAATCAAGAGAAACTGAATCTGCTGAGATCCTGACAGAAGCAGAATTCAGGGGCTGGGGATTTAGAGGCAAAAGTGCCTGCCTGGCAAGCTCAAGGTCATGAGTTCGGTTCCCGGTACTGGAGAAAAACCAAAAAAAAAAAAAAAAAAAAAATTTCTCTGTCAGAAGCAGAATTCTTTCCTAAAGTGGTATGAATTCTTTAAAGATAAACTCCTCAGTGTCTAGGCCAAAATCAGGACTCGGTAACTTTATGATAAATGAGTGGGTGGATGAATGAGATGAATGCTATAGCAACAGTGGTTAAGAGATGATCCAGGATAAAATCCTGCCCTGTAGCTCACAGAATGAGTTACTTGAAGAAGTTATTCCACCACCCTGAGACGTCCAGCCCTGTGTGCTAATCCAGTGACGTCATTAGGCGCATATGCACACATGGTCTAGTCTTGTGCAGCTGGAGGAACACTTGTGATATTTGGATATCTGATGCAGTCTGTCTGCCCACCCTAGGAGAGAAGTTGCCTAGTACTGGGGCTCATGTTATCCTAAGCTGACCACTGGGATGTGGCGAGAGCTGCCTGGTGAGGAAACCAGCTTGAAAGAGACTCACCCGGGCTCCCAGGGAGAGAGTATTCTGACCTAGTGCACCAAAGGTTCTTTTTCTTCTGAAACTGACTTTCTACTTTCACTTCAACCTTCTTTGAAAGGACTTGGTTGCCTAATTTTGTTCTTCAACTACTTCAGCACTCAGTGTGAGGAGGTAGCATTATTGTCTTAATAGTTCTTCATGAAGTCACCCGAAGTAGACCCAGGCAACCTGTCTTGGGGAGTCTTAGCAGAACCCACTTCACGGGGCTGTTGTGGAGAGAACAGGGAAGAAGAGGGGAGTGTATTAATGAGAAAAAGGTTGGTGAGGCAAGCTAATGAGTAAAAGAAAGAAAGACAAAGAAAGAAACTGGGGAGAAAGAATTGATGAAAGAATTGGAGGAAGGGAGAAAGAAGAGGGGAAAGAAAACAGAACTGGGGTCATTTAATCAGTGGTTTGCACACTTAAAATGTTAATGTGCATGTCATGAATTTCACTTCAGAAAGATTGTACCAATTTTCATTTTTGAATAGCCTCTTTCCCCAATTATTTCTAGTAAAGATAATATTAATAACATATTAATGAGAGCTACAATTTTACTATTGGGATCCACTTTTTCTTAGAATTTATAACAGCTCTTCAGTATTAGTTTCACTTTAGGTCAACATTATCAACTTATTGGTTTGCTTTTTATTTATTTATTTTTTTTAATTAATTTATTTTTTTTTTGGTTTTTCTCCGGTACCGGGAACCGAACTCACGACCTTGCGCTTGCCAGGCAGGTGCTTTTGCCGCTGAGCTAAATCCCCAGCCCTGGTTTGCTTTTTAATACATTTTTTCATCGTTCTAAATTTTTATGTAGTTCAATACATAAAGTTTTTCTTTATTGTTTTCACATGGTGTTTATGTGCTATTTTGAAATGTCTCTTTTATTAGATAATAAACACATTTATCTTATCTTTCTTTTTCCTGGAAATTGTTGCTGTCCTGTTGATTCTTGTCTATTCTCATGTTAGTACAAGATATTCTTATAACCAGTGCTGAAAGAGTCCTCTAATTAAAGTAGCTTTAATCAGCTGCTGATTAAAGATGTCCTCTGATTAAATAGCACAATGTTAATAAACATTTTCTGTCAACCGGAGAATAAGCAGAAGAGAAAAGAGCACAACTTGAAGAATATTAGGCCTAGCAGCAGGTACTCATGAGAATACATTAGAGACCATTTCTTCAACTTTGAGTGTGTATAAATGTTTTATAGTAACAAGGTTATATAGTATGGTATATAGAGAGCAAATAGGATATTATATTATGCATCCACTAAGTTACATTTTCAAGTAAAAAATAATGAGAAGAATAAATGTTCAATATATGTGGAATGAAAGAGTAGGATGCTTACTCTGTGATTCCTATTATAAAAACACATATTGCAAAGGAAAGACCTTAAAAACATAGATATGGTAGTAGGAGTTACCTGTGGGTGTTGAAATGATAAATTTTATAATTTTATTTTCTTTCTAATATTATTCAGTGTTTTCTAATTATTTACCATGTGTTCATGATATTCTTATAACTGATGCTGAAATAAGTGCTTTATGTGCAAAAACCACTAGAGAAATAAAGGACATGTGACATCACCTGCAAGACTGAGCCATGTTATGAACATTGTTTGTCTGAGAGAGGT